CAGTCCGCATACATGGTGTTGGAGTATCTAGGCCACGAGACGGTGTGAGACGCTTTCAAACACATTCGCGGCTGGCCGAGAGGATGGAGACCGGAGACAGAGATTATTTAGGGGCATATCACAGGTCATCCTCTCTCTCGCGCGTATCCCTCAGGCTCAAATCGGGTCTTTCCAGTTCAACAACAACGGCACCATTACCCTTACAAACCGGCCTCTCTTATGTTCAATGATGATCTCAGAGAACGACGGCGCGGCTAGGATAATACGACCGAACGACACATACAGCTGCACAGATTCGTTTGTATCGGACATGCTCACATTCCACGACCACCGGTTCCTCCGCCAAGCAAATGCGGTTTACAGCCAAAACGATTGCCGCGGCCAAATGACAGTCAAGACACTTCTGCGAGTCTTGTCGCCCGTTCACATCAAACGAGAGCTGCGAGACGGTCCGTTCCGGCTTCAGTTTACCGACTTGCACGCAAGCAATATTCTAGTTGACAAAGAGTGGAACGTCACTGGCATTATAGATCTGGAGTGGATATGCTCCCTTCCATTAGAGATGCTCGATGTTCCGTATTGGCTGACCGGCTGCGCCATTGACCAGATCACTGGTGACGAACTCGAGCGTTTTGACGAGATACGCAGAGAGTTTATGCGTATCTTTGAAGAGGAAGAGCGAACTTTTAACATCGAAGCAATCCGCGACAACACTCTCTCCCATGTCATGAGGGACCTGTGGGAGTCGAAAGGAGTATGGTTTTGGCACTGTATCTCTTCTGTGAACGCCATGTACTTCATCCTCGAGTCTCATTTGTATCCTGCAGGGTCGCTCCCTCTCGAAGCCGAGAGATGTGTCTCTGGATTTTGGTGCCGTGACTCGGAGGATGTCGTTCGAATGAAGCTTGCTGAGAAACAAGCATATGACGACGAGCTTCGAAAGCTGTTCCTGGAGGAGCGATAATGACAGTGTCGGCAAGAGCCTAGGGAAATGGTATGTTTCGAGGTTTCCGACGTCCGGGGCGGCGTCGTCGAAGGTGACTCCCCTATCATTTCTTTTTCCCTCCTCCTCCTCTCTCTCCTTCTTCTCCCTGTTGCGGCGTCTTGTTGCCTGGGCGCCTTTGCCGGACGAGATGACCGCTGCCATTTCCTTGGCCTTCCCACTCATAGCGACTTGAGCGTCCTCTACAACACCGCTATACTCCCCGGAAGAGTGATTGTCTTTGGTTTGCTCCGGCATGTTGTTGTTCTGCAGTTATAGCTGGTCGGAAAGAAGGGGTAAGTCGTAAGGTGATGTGCGATGTACGTGATGATAATCGGAGCCGATGGGCGGTGAAGCTTGCGAGAAGAGGGGTCGACAGGCAAGTGATCCTGCTTACATGACCTTTTTGTCGGCATGGACTATTGGCGACGCCCCGTCTTTGCCAAATTCTGGGTAGCATAATGACCATAGCCACCTCCCATGCACTTCGCCACGAAGCAAAGATGACCGCCAACCGCCAACCGCCAACCGCCAACCGTCCACTCCTTTCAGAGTGTATCATTCGGGTGGTATTGCTACCGTTCTATGTCAGTGGTTGAAGCATTCGGCCACCGACACTGCGTTGATAGGATACATAAACTACAATGGATCAGCATGTTTTGTGCCTTCTCTCTCATTCCCCGCATCACCGCACACGTTCCTCAACTGCCCCTCTCGCATCCACCCCGTCATCATCATGAGACTCATCGCTGCTATCGTCGCCATCGCTATGGCCCTCATGGCTAGGGCGGCCCCTTCGGCACCCCCAGGTAGCGCGTGCAGTCACGCCCCCGAGGACCTTCAAAAACAGCTGTTGCTGGCTGACAGGTGAGTTAATCATCCTCCATAATAGGTCAGAAGATCCACCTAACCCGCCATAGCGCTGCCGATTTCTTTGGCCTGCTTCCAGACAACGACGACTTCATTTCGACTTCAGCCAATCTCAAGTCAACCCTGGGAAGGGCGGTGAGATCATCGTCGCAAACTGGGCTACCTTCACCACCCTAGTCGGCAATCGCGCATAGCTTTACGCCTAGCTATACCGCGCTTGATTAAGGCTAGAGTATTTAAAGCGTTATCTTTAGTATATCTCTTTATTCTAAATCTAATAGAATAGTTAGCTAAGCTATATAATAAAAATTAGGAAAGATGTTATAAGAAACCTATTATTCTAAGAGCGCGTTTTGGGTAGTGAAAATGGTCAGTTTGGGTGGGTGGTTGGGGGGGTGGGCGGTTGGGGGGTGGGCGGTTGGGGGTGGTGGGTCTTAGCTGTGGTAAAACCCGGAACCCCCACTCGGTCTCTCCTTCCCTGCAGGGATCCCTCGTGAGAATGAGATGGATGCCCTTGCCCATGTCTATGCCCTTGTTCCTGCTGCCCCTCCTTTGATGTTCCACTGTCCCGCGCCGCTCTTTCACCCAAAACTACCTACCATGTAATGTACGCTGTCTTCCTTGTCCTGCCTTGCCTTGCCAACCTCTCCTCCTCCGCCCGCGCTCCCCCCCCCCCTCTCCCGCCATGGCTTCTCCATTCTGCCGATGCTCTCCATCTTCAGTCCAATTCCGTTGTCGCAGCATAAACTGGTACATCCTGTCCCGCATTACCCCCCTCGTCGAACCCCCTCACACGCGCCCTCACGCTCTTTCGACTGGTGGGATATGGGTGTATGTATGTGGCTCCCACACGGATGATATACCCTTGTACACTCGCCTGTCGCGCAGCAATAAGGCACTTCATCGGAGCCAACATCCCGACGGCGGCTAGCTCACGAGGAACAGACAGGGCCAAGCTTTTGGCGGCTTTGGCCCACCGACCGACTCCCGAACCCTCCCCCGGCCAGGTCGTTGTCGATGGGTGACTGGTCCTCCGCAACACGCTTCCAACGAGTCTCTTCCAACACCAGAAAAGCCGTGGGTCCGGTCCACTCATCGTTCGAACCATTAACGCCTAAGACCACTTCTATTTAGATGGTATGCCTCCTTGCGCCCGCAGCACATGGACTATTCCTGCGCTGCCACAACAGGCGAGTCAGCCGCGAACAATAAGGCAGCGCCCTCGATCCAGGCGCTCGGGTACGGCATGGCACGCTTACCACAACATGCACACATGCACACATGGACTCTCCGTCCAGCCTCGTTCGTTTCGCCTCGCAGCCTGACGCTTTGACAGTGGAGGCTTCCCATTTCGAGTCCCCAATTCCACGAGCATAGGCCCGATCGATGTACATGGCCACCGATTCCCTTTCCCTATCCTCCACTACGCGAATGCCCCAATGCAGAATCCATCGCTTTGCCGCTCAGCCTCACGACGAAGCCGAATTCTTCTCGCTACGGGGCGGCTTGTCGGTCCAGCTTGGAGGTTACTTGGCAATCGAGCAGAATCCTCCTCACTCATCATTTCGACGTGGTGAACCAAAGAAGCCTCCGAAAATCTTATCCTACTTTGAGCACACTACGCATCTCGAGACTGCGTTCGCACCTACGATGCCCCACTGGACCCTGATTAAACCTGTTCCCACGTCATGTTTCACACGTTGGGGAATTTGCGCCGAAACCCCCTTGTCAAATGACGCCGGCTGCCGCATGATAGGTGACGAAAATGCATGTGTCCTGAGCCGTTGCCAAGACCCCACGATAGCCGGGCTGGCAGCCGCGCTGTACTACGGACCACAATGAAAGCTACTACCCAGCCTACAAGTACCTAGGTGGCCATAAGGCGGCAGCAGCCAGCGAGGGCTCCAGAGGGCGCCAAGCTGCCGTCGCTACCTGTTCACTGTGGATCCTCAAGTCTTCAGAGTCACGGTCCGGTTACTTGAGTAAACACCGAAGCCTCGGGTGAAGGGGTATCTTGCCCGAACCACTCGTCTTCCGGCCTGAAAGCCCTAACCATGTCCCTTGCCTGTGTCACGATGCCGCGAGGCACTGCACTCGCAGCGGTGTTCACCCAGCACAGAGCTGCTTCCATAGCGCAGGTTGCGATCCAGCCATGTCGTCATTCCGTTGCCCAACGCATCGTCCCTGGGGCACGCTTCTTCGCGAATCTGACACCCACGTTGCCATCTCGTAATCAGTTCGAGGCAGTACGTCAAACTTTCAGGGTCCTACACGCTATGTCCATAGTTAATCTCAAAACTTACGCAACACAAACGAAGGTCCCCATGAACACATGCGACGTATTCCCCTATTAGGATAATCGACAAGGACGAGGAAAGTGACAAAACGATGCTTGTGGCAGGCCCCACGTTTGAACTTCACAAGCCAACTGGGGTGGACGCTGTCTTCGAGAAGCTCCAAAAGAACGTCGCACTTCCCAAATGGTGGTCTCATCAAGATCAAAACTGCACTGCAGTCAACGTGTCGAGAAATCGCTCAGCTGGAAGTTGCCTGTAGACTGCATCGCCCTTCGCGGCAAGGGAGTCGCACACTCCGGTATCGCTACATTGTCAATGTTCGACCGAGCAAAGGCCGGCCTACCTGAAAGCGTTGTATTGAGACGCCTAGACCGTCGCGCGTGGTCGGGTGGCCTGGGTCGTGCCTAATTTTCCCGATGAGACCCATCGTTAACCCCTCCAAAGGCGCTAGGTCTACCCACAACGTCGCAGGGGCACTGATAACGAACGATTGCTGTTCATGCGAAAATCAGCAGCAGGCAAAGCATGCGTACCACGATTGTGTCACAGTACTTTCAATGAGCAGTGAACATGTACAAGGCGCCCAGATTTCCACATTTTCTTGCGCCTCTTCGGTGCTGACGAGACGCTAGCTCTGCGTCACCTTCATGTTAGTCCGGGTTCCGGGCCGTTCCTGAAGCCTGGGCCCTCCATGTCGCTGCGTCTTTTAGGCTTTGCTTTTCGAGGTTGCTTGGGCCTACCTCAGCCAAAGTTGTACGAGCTCTCAGAAGGTTGGTGAGATGCCAGCCTCCAGCTACTCTCCGGCCACCAAGACGGTCCAGACGCTCCTCAATCGAACCGAGCCAGTCAGATGGCCTCAATAAGCTCGCATGCAAAGGCACGTCTACCATGTACTTAGCAGGGACTGTTCGTATCCTTTGTTGCGGCCTCGGTTGGGGACCAGGTGCACACCATCCGCGTCGATCCGAGACCGCATGTGGCATCCTTTTCGTCTGGTCGTCCGCGAGTGGCTCACAGCGCGGGCTGGCCGGCGTGGGGGTTCAATACCACCCTGGCAGAAGCCATCATCAGGTCATGCGACACTCAGCCCGCCTTGGACCGGCAAGTCTCCTGCCTTCATTTCGTTCCTTGCTCGAGTGCAATGCTGCGCGCATACCGTCGGGACGAACCTGGGGTGTTAGGTGTTTTTGGGGTCCCTTGTGGGGGCAGGGGGGGAGGGGGGGGGGGGGGGGGGGGGGTTGTAGTGTGACTTTTTGTCGACGGGGGGGGGACAGGAAGCAACGTGAACATCGTCCGTGTGTGATGGGTGGTGGGTGGGGGAGTAGTAAGGGGGATGCGGGAAGAGGGGGGGGGGGGCTGAGCACTGGGCGCGGTCAGTGGAGATGGAAGGGAGCGTGCGTAAGCGAGAGACGCGATAGTCACACTACGGAAGAGACGGAGACGCTCAGAGCTTCAGAGGATGCGTAGAT